ATGTAAACAAGCACCTTCAAAGATCATAAAAGGATAGACTAATTTTAATGGTTGCAAGATGCGCCGTACGCAACCAAATGTTTGATAAAAATTCGTGTCACCGCGCATCAAACATCGCAAGCGGTTTGAGGGTATTACGAAAAAACCTGGGAAATTGAATTTCATCGAATTCGCAAGAGCTCGCCGCAAATTTCGCTCGAGCGTAATTCGACAAACCGATTCGTAGAACATTCGAATCAGAATGATGGGTACAATCCGGGATCAATAGGGATTAGAAAAACATGACTGACTCGATCGAATCACACGTTGAACATTGTTTGTAACAGAATATCACCATGTTAAATATTGTTTGTTATCATTATTACAGGATTAATAATTTTTAGGAGTCGACCTCGAATTTGAACAATGTGATGACATTTCATGGTCCCCCTCTACGTTTAAGAAAGTTCGAATTATGGATTCTTGTTGGCTAAAAAAGAAGGGAAAATAGGTAAATAAAACATGGTGCGTCAAATCTATATGCATTTCGCATTTCCTAGGAAAAACAAGGTCATCGGGTATGAGCCAACGATCACTGTTTATAAAAGTGGCTTTGGCAATGAATCTCATGATACCACGATTATATGTATTGAGAGGATGATAAAGCTCAAGTTAAGGAGGGAGGATTTGCACGCGTACGATAGATAGAAAATAGTGTCTCACAGCACGCGGTGGCGTGTAGCAAAAGGATTGATAGCACATAAATTAACATCGAAAGATTATTTATTACGAGGCCAAAAGAGGAAATGGTTATGCGTTGTCGCAAATCAAAACAAAAACAAGATAAACGATTTTCATTGGCAGAATTCCTAAACTGGTAATGGGTATGGGCAGAATAAAGTAGTTGTTTTTCTCGTAAGGTGATTCCAGATGTTGTAATTGGGAAAAACTAGGTAAAGGTAAACACAACAAGGGGGGAGACAATTTCGTGTGCGCATCCGATTATTGAAAGGAAATCATCACGGAGAAACAAAGAAGATTATCGTGGCCGCAATGGAGGGGGGGTGAACTCCCAAGAATCGAGAAATCGCGGGGTCACTCGACTTCAGATGTGCATAACCTTTGCAAATTCCACCATTTTTTTTTATGTTAATGCATAAACGTGTGCAAAACGTATGTACGTTAATAATGACATGATAACAATAATAATATGAGATATGCATAATAGTAGTGGCACAATATAACTTTTCTAAATATTTATGCATACATACAACAGTATATATGCGCTGTAGCCGACGCCGAACGCAAACGAGCTCTTCCATTTTTGTTAATTAATGAAAGAGGAAAAAAGGACCCCAAATTAAGACAAAAGAATATGGTTGGAACGTTTATTCATTTGCACCCCCTTTTTTTTTTAAAAGAAAAATCGGTTAATCGAGACGCACATTGTATTGTGTGATCACATTGGCGTATGGCAAGGGATGCGATGGAAATCGTATTCAAAAGGGTGATTGGGTTATTCGCCAACCATACTTTCCGGTGTATAAAGAATGTCTCAATTTTTCTTTTTACTTGGTTGAACCCGTGATTAGATGAGATTCCGTATTGTAAGTATGTACTATTTGCGATCTACGTTGTATTTGGGCATCGACATACTGTACACACATTTGTTTTTTTTGGAGTGTTCTAAAAAAAATCAATGTTTTGGGTCACGTCGACACACGCTGGTACGAGGAAACGTTAAAAAAATAGCAATTTTTGATTCTCACAATAAACCATCCTAATTAGGACCCGCGCCTAACAATATCTCACGACGCAACGCTCATGCGTATACACGATATCTCAATTTACACAGGGAATAATCTGCCACACCATTTAACCGCTTCATCTCCACGAAAAGAAATTTCGCACGTGCGAGATGCCGGGTAGAAGAATTCCCCAAAATTTTGGGAATTTCGATTTTCGTTGCGGCTGTCAACATTATTTCCGTATTCGACGTTTTCATTGATGCGCAAAAGAGAGAATTAGAGTTTGGTCAGGCAACAAAAAAATTTTCAGAAATGCCATACCCAAATTAGCCCATTGAACGCGCATTGCATTTCCCCCAAAAGAGGGCATTTTCCGATCAAACAAACGAAATTGTCTTTTCTTTTTTCTTTCCATTTTACCGCTTATCCATTTTGCTTTGTTTCTTTTTTCAAAAAAGCATCTGGTCACATAATGTTTGTACAGCTGGTCAATTTTTTTTTTTTTTTCTTGTTGATGGGAATCATGCATCCAATTCATAGTATGCAGTTGTAAATAACGTACCTCTGATTCACGTTTGTACGTAACATACGGTACATCCAACTTTTGATTATGCTTCACTATGATCGATCCCCTTTTTGGGCCCCAAATTTTTAATTTTCATCAACGAACGAAAACATACACAGCAGCAGCTACCCCGACACCGCAAAATTTTAATGCTTACGCACGCAAGTAATTAGTCACCATACGATGCATCCAGCATCCAGCATCCATCATCCATCACTTCACCCTATCGTCCTATCGTGTAGCATCACACTAACCATTTTCCACATCAATCAAAGGTTAGTCAAACAAGCCTCGGGGACGTTACCCAAGAAAAATGAGTATATCGCATGTGCAAGTCGCGGCGTAAAGATTCTTTTTATTTTATTTCCCGAATTATACATGAACTCGATGATCCTTTTTTCAACCTTAACACCAATCATATTCTTCCTCTCACTAATCGTTATCGTAAGTGTTCCTTCGTGAACGCAACCTCTTTTCTTTCATATGTTCACGAGCACACCCACGATTAACCAGAGATTACCGCTTTTCTTAAACTTAATTAATTAATTGTTCGCTATTGTTCTGGTTGGACAAATGAATTCCCAAAAAGCTTTTGACCGATCGACACAGCCGTTACACCAGTAATATTAATAATATAGATATGAGAAAAAAAAAAAAAAATGAGCCCAGAATTTTTAGGGTCCTGTTGACACAAGGACGAATGTGATAATAAACACGTGATTGTGATAAAATCACAATCGCAAAATGCGTTGGCTCTCGTCGACTGCGCTAACAAAACGAGCCTCTTTTTTTTCACTTGGGGAAATGGGGTTTCTGAATCAATCGAATCAATAGCAATTAAAGTAAATGCATCAGACCAAAAGGAAAAAAAAAAAAAGCATTCATCCAAAAGGAAAAGCTCTAACTTCAGGTGAATGCGTGTGCAGAACTTCACAAAAACGTTATTGAAGTGGCGCAATAGGTACCACATTCACCTTGAACTTTAAACATTATCATTTTTGCACATACACAATACGTACATAGGTTACGTGTACAATTCGGACTATCAAGTTGCCAGTTAGGTGCCTGACTTGCACACTCGTCTCCTCTTTTATTCCAATTGTAAGCTAAATCTGTTCTAACTCCTGTGGAAAAAGGTTATGATCAAAAGGGTCGACAGATCAATTCCAAATCTGACGTATATGCGGTATATTTGTGGCGGATAACGAGAACTCTGATTGGTTTTCGTCGTTGAGATCGTCGAACGAAGAGATAAAACAAAAGGGAATCGATCCATCTGGGATGATACGCACGGCAAAACATGTGTTTTTGATTCACACTCTTTGGTGATACAACAGAGTAACACCAATGACGACTTAATTTTCCTTCGTTTCAACGGCCGAGGAATCGTGGTACAACTGATAATGATTGTTACAAACAATATCCCATCATGTATAAGGACGCATTCAATCTTCGATTGTTCGTCATTGTGCATTATCATCGCGAAGCATCAATTATTCAAATAATCCACATTCAACAATGAAAATTCCTTTCCAAATAGATACCGACTGTATCTTCTCTCGCACCCACACATTTCGTCAAAGGACGTATTGTGATACGTGCGTACGAATGTACGGTAATCACAGTACTTTAAAAAAAAGATCCAATGGATGAATTGATCGATTCCTTTTCTCCCCCCCCCCAACTGTACCTACGCAGTTTTTTCTTGGCCATACCATTTTGATGTCGGATGAAATTAAGATTCACAAAAGAAACCGGTTAGCGTAATTGATGTGCGCATACTTCTTTCACCATTTTCCTTCTTTACATAATGCATTTGCGTCATCTCACAGTAAATGTATTTTGGGGGGAATCCGGTGATCATTCGAGAGCACCTCTCATGAAATTTGTTTACCACAACTGACATATGCTCTCACAACGCTAAGATAAACATCGAAAGAGCTGCCTGTCATCAATGCACCGAAAAAAAAAATCCAGGGGGATTGTTAGCTAAGCATTTAACGTCGTCATCGTCTTTTGCTGCGCTCTTCCGAAATGGCATGTATCATCAAACGGATGTTCCCGATTAGTGTGCAAAATTCGATGATGCGTTATGTGATGCAAGTTCGCATCACATGCCGGCGATGATTGATTGTCGATCGAAATAATGACCGTACTGTAAATGCGTGTAAGCATTGGCCCAGTACCTTTTTTATATTTTCCTTGGTAAATTGACGGACCGATATGAAATTAAAAAAAAAAATGAGTTAAACTTTATCGTCGTGACGCAATTCACTTCCAAGACCGGAAATTTTATGCACTCGCATCGGGTCAATTACTGTAATTACAAAGATGATGGAATTCTAATTCCCAGAGACATTTTTTTCCTTAAATTCTCACCTCACTTCTCCTTTACATCATTGGAGATTGTCGACTCATCGAATGTTCGCAGCCGTCAGTCAGAGCTTCCCGCGAGACCAGAATCGAAAGCATTGGAAGCTGCCATCTTTGAAGCAAACCATTAAATATCCGGTGCATGGCTCAAAAAATAGTAAACCTAGCAAGCTTGGTACAATTTTCACGGAGCTCATCTCCGTCTTTACCTCTGTTACTTTATTGGAATAATTCGAAAAAAAAAAAAAAATGTTCAAAACGGGAAAACAACGTTAATTGGGGTACAATGAAGGTGTTTCATAATTGCACAAAACTCCGAAAAACTATGAAGGCAATTATCGTTGACCACAGTGGTAAAGATCATCGGGAACCATAAAAGCCGATTTGCTGTTGAATAGCTCTCGAAGATTCGATCCGACGAATTTTCCAAATATGAACATGATGTACCTGAAAAAGAATGATTCCGAAAAATCCAAAAAGTTTGTGAACCCAATGCCGTGCAGGCTGTTGATCGCATCACTACACACCTTCCACTCATGGTTGATTCATTATGTTCATACAGATCATTATTTGGCAAATAAAACAACGCGTTGTCATGCTCTCACACAATTACATGCTCACAATCGTGAAAATGTGAACAGAAATATAAAAGAAACAATGATTCTTGAATGTCGTATCTTCCTTCATTCCCTGATTTGTAATGATTCTATCATTCTTTTTGATCGTTCATCTCTCTCTCATTGTCGATTGTGACCTTTCGTGGGCGGCGCATCCTCGTACCTATCAAAGGAACCCTAAAAGAGGGTTGAATCAAAACAGTCGATGAGTGAACCTATCACCTCTGGGACCCGATCCATTTAATGGTTCTGAAACAATCAGTTTTCTTTTCTTTGCGGAAACCTGTTATTTATTTAAAATAATAATAATCCCAGACATGACATTTAACCAAACGTTCATCTAATCTCCCCTAAAAAATTCTAAATTTAACGTGCACCAATAAAGCGCGCCCAGGAATCCAGAAAAAGGAAACTTTCCACTGTCATTCCCATTTATTTATTTATTTATTTCCTCAAATATCACCAAACTTTAGGGGAGGCCGAACAACGACGCGCTAAACCAATTTCTGTAAATTCATTTTGTACCAAAAGATTGATTATTTGCAATCAAACAATCTCATCAATTTTCTCTTTATTCCCTTTTTAATCTTTTCAAAATATTCATATGATCGCACAAATATTTTATGCAGCTTATCTTTATGTACCTACGATACCTACGACACCTTCATTGAACATTTACGTGTCACCGAACCTTTTCGCGCATTTTCCCACTGCGATTTGATCCAATTACCAGTTGTGTGTTCGCAAGCATTCAGAAGAATTGACTTAGCCGCCTTACATGCATCAGCACCGAGTCTCCCCTATGCAATGGGTAAATAAAAAAATCTGGTATCATACATGTTTCCTCCTTGTCCAGCAGAATCGAACGTTGGCGTTTAATTGCGCACCATTTTGCAAAAAAGTTCCTTCACCGCTCGCCCCCATTTTTCTCAGAAATCACCCAAGAAAATCATTTACTCCTCTCTTCATTTTTTTTTTTTTTTTTCATCTCCTTGATTTTTATCTCCCGGCGAACGTTCCCATATCTTGCACCTCATTGTTCCGTCCGTTTGCCACGCCGCTTCCAAGAGAAATGGCAACCCTTTCTTTCTTGACTTTTTTAATAATAGCATCGCTGCCTCCAATTAATAACATAGGTTAACCTTATTTACCTTTTTTTTTTTTTTTAAACCTGAATAAATTACCGATTTTGGTTAAACCAACAAATTTTTAAATTATTGTTTTTTTTAAAAAAAAAAAAATTTTCATGTGTACGTAAGACAACCCGAGAAAACGCAATATCGGATCTCTGCTGCTTTGCGAGACCGGATAATCACCCGGCATAATTGTTACCCACCTTGAACAACCCTTAATATAAACAAATGAAATTGTACCTCATTTTCATCAACGATGAAAGAAAGAAAGAAAAAACTTGAAACAAGCATATTAAAATTTTTCTCTATTCGCTAATTGGCAATATGATAATAATAATATTATTACTGGGACAAAGCATTAAATGTTCATTGGTATTCGCCAAGTTCAACCTTATTTTGTGATTGTTTGCATCTTGGTAATGTAAAAAATATATTTGAATTAATTAATTATCAAACGTCCATTATTAATATTTGTTCACCCCATACCCTAAGTTATATCACATCACATGCTCTGTTCTATCCCCCTCCCGAGTAATCAATATCATTGAAGACTCCCTTGAAACCAGATGCCGTATGCCTATTGTGTGTGGTACACCTTGTTGTTTCCTGTGATTTAATTCGTGTGCATCATATATATGTTTTATTTCTTCTTGCATTTCATTAAATAAATAAATAATGGCCGGCACGTGATTCACGCAGAAATCGGAAATAGATAATTTCAATTTGCCATTTTCAACTGTTCATTATGAAAATCAAAAATACTGTGTTGATTAAATCGAATTAATGATTTTATCTTGTTCACTAGATCGAATTAACTATATCGAGTCATGCTGTATTATACCATTTATCCTATTCGTTGTTACATAAGATTGATGATGGATGGATGAACGATTGACTTCACAAATAATAATAAATAATAATAATTTGATTTAATTTGATTTGATTGATTAAGTAAGGTATCATTGTTTATCATGGGTTTAAGTAATATCTTTCTTTAAAAAAAAAAAACTCGACGATAGCCGTGTGTTGTGTGTATGCATTGGTTAACTTTTTTTTAAAAAAAATGAATAATATGCTGTAATGGTAATATCAATTATTCTTCTTTCTTGAAAATGATATTTTTGTTTGTTTGTTTTTATTTTTAGATATCTATAAAATTAACTTTATTAAAATTATTATTATTATTAATTTTATTAACTATCTTAAATAATTTCTCATTATTAAAAAATGAAAAAATATAAAAAATATTTTCAATAACAATATTATTAAAGATATTAAAACTATTAAATTCAAAGAAATCTTTAATAAAAAAAATAAATTTCCTATAATTAAAACTATAATTTAAAATCCTAAAACTAAAAATTTCAATTTCAATTATATTAACAATATTGTTAATAAATAAAAAAATTTTAATTTAATTAATATCTTTATAAATACTTTCAAAAAATTTTTTTCTTCTTTAAAAAAAATAATAAGTACTTTATAATTTTTTTATTATTTCTTTTGTTTTTCAAAAAAAAAAATATTAATTATTTATTACAATATAATTACATATAAATTTTTTGTCTATTATCCTAATCCTGCCCAATTTGACAACTCTATAGAAATTAATATAATATTTAATAACTCAATAAAACTTTTTAATCTGAATTTTGCTTTTGTAATTTTTTATAATCAATTATCTCTTACTTTTAATCAATAATTAATTTACTTAACAATTTTATTATTATTTTCAATTTAATAAATATTGTTAAAATAGAATCTACAAATCAATTACAATAAATTAACTTTAAAAATATTATTAATCTCAATTAACTCTTTAAAATTTTTATTATAACTAATTAACTTTCTTTATTAAACATATAATTATTTTTCTTCAATTGTTAAATTTAACAAATTTTAAGTAATTATTTGTATTATGTTATTAATCATTTATCTCAAAACTATTGATATTAATAATATATTCTTTTGTTTTTGTTTTTTTTTTGACATTTAATCAGATTGCAAGTTTTAATATTTATTAACTTAATTTTTAAACAATAATAATATAATATAATATGTGATATTATACTAAATTTAAACTAATCTATTTTGCAAAACATCTGTCAATAAGTTATTTTTATATTTGTATATTATTTTTGAATTTTTAATATCAAGATCATTATATTATTTACATAATTAACTATTTACTAACTATTTCATTATAAGGAAATAAATTTATTAAGTTATTATTATAGGATATTAACTATCTTAAATTTTTCAAATTTTAATTTTTTAGATATATTATAATTATAAATCTGTGATTTTAAAAAATAAAAAAAATTATTTTTAAAAAAATAATAATAATAATAAAAAATAATTAAAAAGTTTATTTTGATAAATAAAAATTAAAGTTTTTAATAATATTATTTTAGTATCAAATCAATATTAAATTTAGGAAATTGCTATTTGTACTATAGATTTTACTATTTGCATTATACACCCTCAATTATATTACATATTATATGATTTTATATCCCATATTATGCATATAGAATCCAACAATTGAAAATAATAATTTTTAAAATTCATTAATTTTAAAAGTCTTACATTTAATAAATAATCCTTCTTAAAAATAATTATAAATAGATTTTAGAAGTCTTACATCTAATAAATAATCCTTCTTAAAAATAATTATAAATAGATTTTATTAATAGCTTTTTAAAAAAAATCTATTAAAAAAATAATAATTTTGTTAAAACCAATAGAACTAGGCTGATTTCAAAACCATGGTTCCAACACTACTGTATATTTTGAGAAATTTTAAATTCTAGAAAAGTTTTTTTGTTATTTTCCTTAAGTAAAACTTACTGTAAACATAACCTGTGATAAAAAATTTATTTCAAAAACTAATAATTCCTTTAGAACCAATTACAACTCTAGCTATGTATAAATTTTAATGTTTTTTTTTATTTCCTATTACTAGAATATGTTCTACTGTTATATCCAATTTTTTGACATAAACCAAATTTCTTGTTATGTTTTTTTATTTTAGTAAACTCAAAGGCAGATGAATTTCTTTGAATAGATAATTGAATTCTGTTTTTTGCTTTAACTGAACATCTCTTTGTTTGTTGTACTTGCAGATTTTGAATTATTATAGTTGGCTCTTCAAATAAATTTGATATTTTATCTAGAGCTACTAATTGTAAATTAATCAGTCAAAAGTCAAATACCTGTCCATATTTTTGCCACTGTTGTCATAAAGGATCTTTAGTTTTATTTGGTATTTGTGGAAGCAATAGATATTCTTGAAATCCCCAATGTTGATGAAAATTGATAAGTTGCAGATATTGATTATTAATAAGACATTCCTGAATTTTATAAGAACAAGAAAGATTTATTAATGATATGAAAATACCATCACAAGATTGTAATAGGTTTTTTGAAGTTATATAGGATACTTTCAATAATTGCTTGTGCACTTTTTTCAATGCAAATACAAAAACTTGAAAATGATCTGTAAGTAAAATGGCTTGACTTGGGCATAAGGAATTCAAATTATCTTTTAAGAAATTATGATTTGAATTTCCTGATGTTGATTTTCCAATGCTAGAAAAATTCTTTTATGAACAATATAGAGATCACCTATCGATACTTAAAGATACTTTTTTAGCATTGCATGAGATTCTTCTACTCGTAATGTGGTCACATTATCCAAATGCAAGTAACGGTTTGTTTAAAGACTTACAAAATGCTTTTTTAATAGTAACCATGTGTCTTGCAGATACCTAACAATTGATAAATTCTTATTATATTTTCTTACTAATTCTTTACATTTTTCATTAAAATCTTTTTCTGTTTTAGATCCTATAACAGTAATCCAGTTGCCTAAAAATTCAATCCATTTTTCGTCTATAGGAAACTAATTATGACAATTGGCCAGTATATTTTTTTCAATATGTCAGACACATAAAAAGTTTTGTAATTTAGAAAAGATAGTTTGTATAGCATGTATCAATGCCTAATCTCAATCACTTATAATAACTTGAGGCTTTGAAGTATCCTTAAAAATATGAGCAATATGAACAAGAGTCTATTTATAATTTTTTTCTTGTTCCAATTTTAGGAAAGCAAAACAGAAGAAGAATATAGTATTGGAGCTTGTTATACTAATAATATAAAGAAGTGACATTTTAAACTTATTAGTTTTATAAGTATAATCTATTAAGAAAATAGAATTGTAAGTTTTGATAAGTATAATTGATATAGGATGTGCAAAAAAGAGATAGGTCAAATAACCATTTTTATTGTATTGAAAGTTATACTCAAAACTTCCTTCTTTAAGCTTATTAAGAAAAGCCTGAATTGAAATGCGGCCCTAAAAATTATTACATCGAATTTTATCTTGAATATTGTAAATAATTTTTGATATTGCTATAAGATTTGATTTGCTTTAACAAAAAGTTAAAAGTATCTCTCAAGGACAAATACCTGCTGCAGACATTTGTCAAAATTTTTATTGATCTTTTATGTTTAATTGATGACTTAATGGATACCCAGATATGTCTTTTAATGCTTTATAGTTGTGATTAGTATTTTTTATTGTTAAGTACCACTGATTATCTTTCTTTTTGCCATAGAGTTCAAATGAACAATCTATTAATCATGAACTTGTAACTCTCTGATAAGTATTATCTGTAAGATATAAAGAATTTCTATAGATACTATTCTTATAACAATGCAAATACACAAACTTATTCTAGTCAGATCTTTTTATGTATACTGCATATCTATTATTAAATGTATATG